CACGCCACGGCACTCTAGCTCTGCATTCCAGAACGAGACTCCATCTCAGAAACAAAAAAAGTTAAATTACAGTGGAATAAATTTCATTGGCAGTAGTGAAGAACGTGCATCTTCTGAAAACATACTCAAAATGAGATTACAATTTAACTTTCTGTGTATCCATGTTTCTGTGATGACTTATGTGTGGACTTCAGATGGACTCTGGAGAAATCTTTGAACTATTTGAAGCAATTAGTGCTCTTAAACCTGATTTATAATGAAGAACACGCATAGTTTTCTACTGGATACTTCAGGAGTATCTGGCCTGTTTCTTCTCTGAGAAATCCTGGTCAGAGTAAGATGAGGTCAAATGATCTCTCTTTCTGCGCTCTTCTTTATCTGATAATGAAATCGATGTACGTATCTAATTGATTGCCTCCAAATTTACATAATCTTTCTAGATTAGCATACTTTTTCATTTAGCTTCACCTGTTTTCATTTAGCTTCATCTGGATCTCCAGATCCACTGCCTGCCCTTATTTGTAAAGTTGCATACTCCTTCTCCTCCTGCTGATAAACTTCACATTATGTGCCCCTGATGTTGAAACTCATGGACTGGTGTAGATAAAACAGAAATCACCCATAAGCCTGATTCCCAGTGATTTCTACTAACACTTTTTGTTTCCTTCTAGTATTTTTTCCATGACTGTTTTTCTTCAAAGTTGTTACTGTGTATGATGACCTGATTTTCACTCTTGAAATTATACTATGAGCATTTTAAAACTATGTCATTAAATAATCTTCAAAATGTTATTTTTAGTGGCTATGAATATGCCAGCTATATATACCATAATATATTAAACATGTTTTCCACAGTTATTCAAATGGGTTTTTCTGGGTGGTTTTTCCCCTGTAGTTTATAACTCTGGTGAACATATTTGTATATAAATCAATCATATTTCTAGTAACCTTTAAGTTATTTTCATTGGATTATGACTTCCTTAGAAATAGGATCTGTGTTTTGATGACTATTGATTTTTGAACACATGGTACATTTGCTGGAATAAAATAGATAATCACTAAATATTTGTTGAATGCATAGAAGCTAAATTCTTCAAAGGGAAATTACTGAGTAATAGGACAGAAATGTTTTAGGGTTTTTGATGCTGCTTTGAATAGTTGGAACGTTTATCTTGTTATCACCAGTATTTAATAATATTATTTAATCTACTGATTTCATAGGTGGAAATTGATAGATATATTATAATTTGTAATTCTTCACTCATGAGATTAAACTTCAATTTTACATATGACAGTCATTTGCATTTCTTTTGTGAATTTTTGGTTCTTCTCATTTTTAATGAAGTTGAGGTAACAAATTCCTACTGCTAACTTCCTTGTTTCTAAGGTTAAATTCTAATTTAATGAAATTTTAAAACAATATTATTTATACTACCAAGGAGTGAGAAAAATAAATGAAACTCTCTGAAAGTTGTGATCTGTGCTGGACATTCCCAGCTCATGCTGTTTATATTTTTTTACTTGAAGTTTTCAGAAAAAAATTCCTTCCATGTGAAATTTTGATAACATGTAATGCATAAAGAAGTGAATGGCTGGGCATGGTGGCTCATGCCTGTAATCCCAGCACTTTGGGAGGCCAAGATAGGAGGATTGCTTGCGCCAGGAGTTTGAGACCAGCCTGGGCAACATAGTGAGACTCCAGTCTCTACAAAAAAAAAAAAAAAAAATTTTTTTTTTAAATTAACCATTGTGGTAGCATGTGCCTGCTGTCCCAGGTACTCAGGAGGCTGAGGTGGGGAGGATCTCTTGAGCCTGGGAGGTCAAGGTGACAGTAAACCATGATTGTGCCAGTGGACACCAGCCTGGGCTACAGAGCAAGACCCTGTCTCAAAAAAAAAAAAAGAAAATGAAAGTGATTGATAGTCAATATACTTATTATTATTTATTACATTTTCATAAACCGACAGCATATTTAGAGTCCACTTGGCAAACTTGAGTTCTAACACATTATATGGGTGAGCGTTTAGCATCCCACCTTCTTATGGTCCTCTAGCTGGCCATTTTGGTTTCCTTCAGCCACTTTTATCAACATCATGACCTGTGAGACTCTGGCTTTGAAAGTGTCCTTTTCATCTTAAATGGAGATCTCATTTACCAGAGTGTGAAACTAGGAAAGAAAATTCTTTAGTTCTAGTTCTCATTAATTTTTACTGCTGGTTTTATAAAATCAGCAATTTCTGTAAGGTAATTCTTGTGTATTAATTATACTTCTGTGTTTCAGATAATACCCTGAAGCTGTTAAAGGAGTTAACAAGCAAAAAATCTCTTCAAGTGCCAAGTATTTATTATCATTTGCCTCATTTATTGAAAAATGAAGGAAGTCTTCGACCTGCTGTGCAGATTGGCAGTGGAAGAACAGGAGGTAGGTTTATTTTGTTTCTTACTGCAGTTGTACTACTGCTGTTAATTTTGTTTTGGACTCTTATGTTCACCATCAGAAGTCTGGGAGGTCAAAAAATAGAAGTTCTTTCTTTATCTGTGCACATCAGGTTGGGTCTTATTCTAAACCCCATGTTGAAAGGAGTTGGACATTTCCTTTGTAGACCAAAGTAATATAGCCGAAAGGGACCATGTGAAATCTAGTTCAGGCCCCATCCTAGGCAGACAAATGTTGACACCTTTGTCATTTTTCTGTTTTAGAGATTTGGGAAGTAGAGAGATGACATTTTCTCCTTGTATCTTATTTCAAAATTAACAGCTCTTTTGGTCACGTCACAAAGGTTTTTCTTATGTCTGCCTCACTTTTCGTACAGAGATGTAAGTAGGTAGTAACTTTTGTGTAACTTTTTATGCAGTAGTAGAAATACTTTGATTTACTTCTTCCTAATTTATTCAAAAGATACTATATAGCTTATTTTTCTCTTCTTGTCAGAGCCAACAGAACTCCCTCGATTTTCCTTATAGAAACTATTTACCACTCTTTTTTTTTTTGAAGCAACGTAAGCACAAATTTATTGAAACCGAAGTACACTCCACCGAGTGGAAGTGGGCTTGAGCAAGCCAGCCCAAGAGCCGTTTACCACTCATACTTTTTATTCCGCCGTGTCGACTTTGTTAATCTTTTCTTCGTAGATTTTAAAATGCAGAGGGCAGAATATTATTTTGTTCTTCTATAAGTTTTTAACAAGTGATGAAATGATTACTTCATAGATACCAAAATTCATTTTTGGGTTAGTGTTTTTGAAAAGCTGAGTCTACTTTTGATTCAATGGGATTCTCAAGTATTTTGCTGTCTTTTTGGGGGGATCACATCTTCTCACTGATCTATAAATGTAAGCTTTTACATTCATCTTGTTTTAGTTCTGCTGTCTATTTCATTAATCAGTTGAAATAATATACTACCTTCCTTCTTAAGGAGGTAGAAACTCTTAAAAGAGTATGTTGAAACAAACTCCTTCTTTCCTTTCTCTAATGATTCAAAAAATATTTATTGAAGCCAGGCATTTTGCAGGTGCCAGGTATACAGAGACTAACAAGGTATATGTGGTACTTTGTTTCTTTGTTTGTTTGTTTGTTTGTTTTAGAATGTTGATTGTTAATTATTTTTGAAGCTGATATCATGTCTCCCTTTAATAACCACTCTTTGGATAAGATGTCTTAAGTAATTGTGGGTTTGTTTGTTTAGACTATTTCTTCATTCATAAGAGTATCAAATGAAAAGAAATTAGAAGTGATTTTAAAGTCATTTAAAACTTCCAAGGTCTCTATTAGGTTTTTATTTTATAAATGTGACATTCTCTTTCTTTTGAAGCTATGTATTCCATCCCATTTGTTTACATGACTTTATCCATTATAAATAGAATAAAATCTTGGTCAACCAGCTTTCCAATAGTTAACATTCTTATAAAGCTGCCACTATTTTTGAAAGGTAGAAAAAACAGCTTGGTAGAAAAAACGGATAGGCAAATAACCCATATTTACTACCTTAAACATTTTCCTCCCTAAATCGTTGGGGTATAGCTCTTAATATTTTTAGTTACAGGACCCTTTGGATATTCTAGGAAGGCTGTCAATCTCTCCTTTGGAAAATGCCCATAGAAAATATAATTTTGTTTGTAATTTCTGGAATTTTATGGAACCCCAGAACTTATCTAGGGTTTCATATTCAGAACTTCTGTTTTGTAGATAAAGAAAAACAGCTTCTTGCTAGAAATTCTGTTTTCCAGTGTTCAGGCTGATTAATTAGGGAACAGCACTTAGAACAGCTAAGCCATCGTAAGGCTGAAGAGGAAGGACAGTGCTGCCGGTGGCTGCTGACCCCAGGGGAGTGGCTGGGATTCTCACACCCAGAACAGAAAACGGCCGGCGCACCACCCAGCACCACATCTGTATCCTCCCACCACATTCGCCAAGGCAGGCTGCGGCAAACAGACCCAGAGACTAC